ATGCGGAACGTTACAGATCGAACACTGAATTCCACAGCACCAGCTGTTTTAAGCAGCTGATATTCACGACTAACAATATACAACTGAAAATAAGAATACATGTCCAATCTTTCTATTTATATTTTATATCTCTCAGCGACCGAAAGAGACGATGTAGGAACTGACAAATGTGTTCGATGTTTGGGTATACGTGTACTACTGATATCGGTCAACGGTTTGTACAGTATGCATAATAATTGCTTTCTACATGCTTGTCCAACTTGGATTTCAATAGTTTTTGTCTAAATCTTGAAAAACAAACTTAACAAACCGGAAGTTCCGGTGTTTAAGTAACATTTGTTTACGATCATTTTTTTACATGCTGTTGTTTAATCAGAAACACATTTGAGTGCAATATCTGTTTAAAACCATAACTAAGGGTCGAAGGTAAGGTCGAACGCGCAAACGTACATATTTGAGAAATGTGCATACGCAAATAATCACTTTGAGAAACTGCAAAAACCGCGGCCTTAGTTAACACAAACTCTGGGTCGGATTTCGATCCCCAGTTAATTAGAGAATGCCAGCTATATTTAGTAAGGCGGTTTAGGTATTGCTGGGCTTCGCCTCGGTAAGTTGATAGGCTAGGCGTGCATCTGGAATCCAAAACATCAACTGTTTATGTATTTGAGTTTTTACCTAATCAAAGAGAAAATGGCCGTATCATATTATTTCGAGGGATATTTTGTACAGATTTACATCACTTCCGTTCTAATGTCAGCTTGGATCTGTAGTTACTATAGAATCTGTTCAGTCGATATCAAAAAGATAAAGTTCGACAATTTTTTGTTTTTAAGATTCATTATTCGTACAATGATTTCGTTCTATAGCATACTCTAATGTGCCATTTTCTTCTTAGGTATAAAAAAAACCCATAAAAATGTACTCAAAAATGATAACAGTAACTTGCCCATTTATTCATTCATTTCATTCATTCATTCATTCGTTTGTTCGTTCTCTCGTTCATATGTACCTTGATTGTAAATATTTATTATTTTCGTCTTCGTCGGAACAAGTATGTTGTTTCGTTACATTTTCTTTGGAGGAACTTAACCTGTTCATAATGACAATTTATATTTCTGATTAAGTGGGAACTTAGAATGGTTAATACATCGTTACAATAGCTCTTAGAACCGTGTCATAAACATTAATTAGACTGTAATTACTCGAAATCCTACTTCTCATAGTAATGCTGCCGTTATTTAACTGTCACTGTCAGCTCTAGCAGCTTGCGCTGGCTACACGTCAATAACACAGAATTCAATCAATGTGGATATTCTCTTTTTATTTTCCTAATCCTGTATGGAATACATAGAGAAAACGAGATGTTGAAGCATAAATAATCATTTATAGTTTAAAGTGTTCAAAATGTAATATGAATCCAGCCAACATTTTTGTAATTCCAGAAGGGTGAATCTCTAGATCTGGAGATAAATTGAACACCATTATGTTTAAAATTAGTTTAGGGTTTCTAGTAATGACGACAGACAATGGCCGACTGGTGTAATTTGAAGATCGAGTTAAACGTTTACTCCACTTCGTGTCCTCGGTCTCCGGGTGACAAATACGTCACTAACTCTAGGTTTTGTAAATCATTTCAATCTAGCTTCACCGGAAGTATCATCATGTTACCAACGTAAAGCTTATATAGAATATGATATTATTCCTAATATCGTCATCCTTGACATATTCACTAATTATATTTTTTGTAAATTTTCAATTTTTGTAATTAGTTACCCTGGGTATTGTTTACAATTGCTTTTCATTTTCTGTGATGTTTCTTGTAATTACCGCTTGTTTCCTTTAATAATCAAAGCAATTATTTGCGATTAAACCCTTTCCCAAAATCTGAAACACTGACTATCTGAAGTGCGCAATAAAAACTGTTAAAAATAATGTGTGTTGTGCTACTCGCTCCCATTTCCATTCCCCAAGAACCACATTGCTACCTACGAAAAGTAGAGGACTTATAATTAGTTTTTCACCCCACCCCTACGTGTCAAAAATTGGGGCAGTAGATTTTAGCAGTGCACAATGCCCAAAATTAGAATTAAAATACAGTTCTTAATTAACCGCTCAAACATATTCCGTTCTTAATGAACTGAAAGTATTGGTGCGGTAAATTACTAGCTGTATTTCAATCAAATTAGTCACTCTGACGCTGTTTATTCACCTTCCATTTCAGCCGATCTCGTAAGTGTTTATTTTCTGGTCGGTTTACAAAGACAAAACTAGAGGGATTCCGTAGTGGCATCATTGTATACTGGAAAATGAAGTTAGGTAAAGAAAATTAAAGCAACACAACGTTTAGTTGCTTTGACAGATATGTAAGTTAGTGAAAAATGTTCAAAACATTGCCTGAAAGCCAAGCTATGCCCGGTTTACAGGAAATCCATGTCTTCGTGTCAGAGGAATTCTGATTATCGACTACAACCAAGACTACAACTATAAGTCACGTTCGTGTACGTGGTCCGGTAGGAATATTTCAGTATAACATCGGATGTACCGGCCGTATTTATCTGATGTTTTCGAATCATTACCCTCTCAAACTGTAGTTAAGAAGTAAAATGAATTATTGCTCGTTTGAATGCCAGCTTCACTGGAAATCCAACATCAACAACTGTGATATATAAACATGTTTTTATTTGCGATCAGTGTCCGCTTTCGATTAATTTTACTTCAGTTTCGAAGCTCGTTTATAACTTTCGCATAAATGACATCCCGGATATTCCCGGGGTTCCGCTCACTATCGCTCTCCACACCCGTGGAACAGTTCATGACAAAATCAAAGGTTCCACGTGCGACACATTGTGTATAAGACGAAAAGACTAGTTTGATCCTTTGGTGCACATGGAACAAATCTCGAGTTTTTTTGTACCGACTTTTTGTAGTTGAGTGTCGGTCCTTTGTAATCTTAAATCTGTGATTGGTCAGATTTTTTCTCCTGAAATCCGCTCTAGATCAATCAAATGACTTCGCTTGTGCCTTCAGTTGTCATGCGTGTTCCAGGAGTGCAAAGAACTAAAGTGATTGTAACCCCCGAGTATCGAGGAGGCTTACATTATAGTAACCAACCTTTCTGTCGTGAAAACTTCAATGCAGAACATTTTACCATGATTCATAGGGACTGTGATGATTTATACAATTTGTGATAATTGATTCAGATTTACACAATTCCGTGAGAATTCACTGGGACCAACATGTGATGTGCATGTTTTTGCATTCGCACGAAAATATTAAGATCGAGGATTGAAGAGTTTAATGTGACGATATAATAACCGAGAGAAGTATCGGTCTGTGTTGTGATCATGTTGATGAATAAAATGATACCTTTTTATCTTTCTTTGTAACCCATAGTAGTTTCTTAATACTTTGATATTACATCAAATTTCACAGTCTATGTTATCTATTTAATGCTCGGTAGTCTGTTTCAGCAGTAGACCATCTACATCATAACTAAGCTACGATTTGAAAGGACCCTAATTTTTTGAGCATGTTTCAGTAAGAAGGGAAATCACGTTTGACGTATACAGTTAGTTTACTGATTACATAAGGCGATAAAAGAAAATTGGTTAGGTTATAACTGATGAAGATCTCTACTTTACATTATGTTTTATAAGCTGAAAACTCTGGTTTTCTAAGTAGTTTTATCACGTACCTGTATTTTACATCAAATGTTTTCTAAAAATTAAAACAAAACTCGGTAGAATTTTTATGTTAAAAGCCTTTATGTTATACAGCCTGTCATTTAGAGTAAATCATTGTTTCTTGTTGTCATTTCAAGGAACTCCTTGTCCTGTAGTTCAGCAGAAACGCTTGACGAAAACCTTTCTACAAAGGCAATATTTTGGAGGAAACTACAGGCAAACAATTTTACCATTCCGTCACTCTGGGGTAACCTCTGTTTTATTAACGAAAGCTATTCTACAGTCCCGTCACTAAGAGAAAACACTGAAAACAAAAACAAAAAATGGGATAATTGAGCAGAGCTGCAGAGGGCCGGATCGATGTGGAGTACTCTGACGATGTGTGAAACATAGAATGAAAAAAGTTCGATGCAAGCGAAGAAGTTTAACAAAATGTTTGGCTGCCTCGAAAAATTTTACACAGAAAGTGCGATTATAGATTTTCATGTGTACAGTCATATCACGTATATTTTGGTACACTGGTCAGATTTTTCGTGCCAAGGAAGTAAGCTAGCATTATGTATCAAGTTGAATTTTAATCTTTACTTGATGTTGATCTAACCCACGCAAGTTTTTCTTGACCAGTACATAGGTCCATATATACCTAGACGGTAGCATATCCTTAAAATGAATTTACACCTGTTAAAATAGTCAAGTTGCTTAATATCAACACAAACCTGTGAGATATATATATTAATTTGTTATTTAAATGTGTATTGGCCGTTGTGTTTTTATTTATGATGCAAATTAAATAATAGTATAGTTAAAAGTGTCCCTACAACTACAAAAGTGCAAGGTAGTAGACTTTTATCTGTGAAAAAAGGAGTGTAACGTAGTGTAACTAAAAAGGACCATTGCCCAAATCGTATATTTTGACTTTAAAAGAGTTTAAAAAGTCCGTCTAGTGTGTAAATATGTGGACCTGAGACACAGTGTAGCCTGAGATTGACCCTTACAGTCTGATGTCCTATTAGACTGACCCTTACAGTCTGATGTCCTATTATACTGTCCCTTACAGTCTGATGTCATATTATACTGACCCTTACAATCTGATGTACTATTATACTGACCCTTACAGTCTGATGTACCATTATACTGACCCTTACAGTCTGATGTACCATTATACTGACCCTTACAGTCTGATGTCCTATTAGACTGACCCTTACAGTCTGATGTCCTATTAGATTGACCCTTACAGTCTGATGTCCTATTAGACTGACCCTTACAGTCTGATGTCCTATTAGATTGACCCTTACAGTCTGATGTCCTATTTGATTAACCCTTACAATCTGATGTCCTATTAGATTGACCCTTACAGTCTGATGTCCTATTAGATTGACCCTTACAGTCTGATGTCCTACTATACTGACCCTTACAGTCTGATGTCCTATTAGACTGGCCCTCACAGTCTGATGTCCTATTAGACTGACCCTTACAGTCTGATGTCCTATTAGACTGGCCCTTACAGTCTGATGTCCTATTAGACTGACCCTTACAGTCTGATGTCCTATTTGATTGACCCTTACAGTCTGATGTCCTACTATACTGACCCTTACAGTCTGATGTCCTATTAGACTGGCCCTTGCAGTCTGATGTCCTATTTGATTGACCCTTACAGTCTGATGTCCTATTTGATTGACCCTTACAGTCTGATGTCCTATTATACTGACCCTTACAGTCTGATGTCCTATTAGACTGGCACTTACAGTCTGATGTCCTATTAGACTGACCCTTACAGTCTGATTTCCTATTAGACTGACCCTTACAGTCTGATGTCCTATTTGATTGACCCTTACAGTCTGATGTCCTACTATACTGACCCTTACAGTCTGATGTCCTATTAGACTGGCCCTTACAGTCTGATGTCCTATTAGATTGACCCTTGCAGTCTGATGTCCTATTTGATTGACCCTTACAATCTGATGTCCTATTTGATTGACCCTTACAGTCTGATGTCCTATTATACTGACCCTTACAGTCTGATGTCCTATTAGACTGGCCCTTACAGTCTGATGTCCTATTAGATTGACCCTTGCAGTCTGATGTCCTATTTGATTGACCCTTACAATCTGATGTCCTATTTGATTGACCCTTACAGTCTGATGTCCTATTATACTGACCCTTACAGTCTGATGTCCTATTAGACTGACCCTTACAGCATGATGTCCTATTAGACTGACCCTTACAGTCTGATGTCCTATTAGATTGACCCTTACAGTCAGATGTCCTATTAGACTGACCCTTACAGTCTGATGTCCTATTAGACTGGCCCTTACAGTCTGATGTCCTATTAGATTGACCCTTGCAGTCTGATGTCCTATTTGATTGACCCTTACAATCTGATGTCCTATTTGATTGACCCTTACAGTCTGATGTCCTATTATACTGACCCTTACAGTCTGATGTCCTATTAGACTGGCCCTTACAGTCTGATGTCCTATTAGATTGACCCTTGCAGTCTGATGTCCTATTTGATTGACCCTTACAATCTGATGTCCTATTTGATTGACCCTTACAGTCTGATGTCCTATTATACTGACCCTTACAGTCTGATGTCCTATTAGACTGACCCTTACAGCATGATGTCCTATTAGACTGACCCTTACAGTCTGATGTCCTATTAGATTGACCCTTACAGTCAGATGTCCTATTAGACTGACCCTTACAATCTGATGTCCTATTAGACTGACCCTTACAGTCTGATGTCCTATTAGATTGACCCTTACAGTCTGATGCATATTAGACTGACCGTTACAATCTGATGTACTATTAGATTGACCCTTACAGTCTGATGTCCTATTATACTGGCCCTTACAGTCTGATGTCCTATTTGATTGACCCTTAAAATCTGATGTCCTATTTGATTGACCCTTACAGTCTGATGTCCTATTATACTGACCCTTACAGTCTGATGTCCTATTAGACTGGCCCTTACAGTCTGATGTCCTATTATACTGTCCCTTACAGTCTGATGTCCTATTAGACTGACCCTTACAGTCTGATGTCCTATTAGATTGACCCTTACAGTCTGATGTCCTATTAGATTGACCCTTACAGTCTGATGTCCTATTTGATTAACCCTTACAATCTGATGTCCTATTAGATTGACCCTTACAGTCTGATGTCCTATTAGATTGACCGTTACAGTCTGATGTACTATTAGATTGACCCTTACAGTCTGATGTCCTATTAGACTGGCCCTTACAGTCTGATGTCCTATTAGACTGGCCCTTGCAGTCTGATGTCCTATTTGATTGACCCTTAAAATCTGATGTCCTATTTGATTGACCCTTACAGTCTGATGTCCTATTATACTGACCCTTACAGTCTGATGTCCTATTAGACTGGCCCTTACAGTCTGATGTCCTATTAGATTGACCCTTGCAGTCTGATGTCCTATTTGATTGACCCTTACAATCTGATGTCCTATTAGATTGACCCTTGCAGTCTGATGTCCTATTTGATTGACCCTTACAATCTGATGTCCTATTAGATTGACCCTTACAGTCTGATGTCCTATTATACTGTCCCTTACAGTCTGATGTCCTATTAGATTGACCCTTACAGTCTGATGTCCTATTAGATTGACCCTTACAGTCTGATGTCCTATTAGATTGACCCTTACAGTCTGATATCCTATTAGATTGACCCTTGCAGTCTGATGTCCTATTAGACTGACCCTTACAATCTGATGTCCTATTAGACTGACCCTTACAGTCTGATTTCCTATTAGACTGACCCTTACAGTCTGATGTCCTATTTGATTGACCCTTACTGTCTGATGTCCTATTAGATTGACCCTTGCAGTCTGATGCATATTAGAGTGACCGTTACAGTATGATGTTCTGTGTAGCATGGCGTTTACTGTGAATGTCATTATTTTGTAGGAATCTTTAACCGCTTTCTTTGAGAATTAAAAAAATATGCAGAAAAAGATGCCGTGAATATACATTAATTGAAAAAATCTGTATCCCTATTTCATGACATCTGAAAAATACATCTACCTACCATGAAACTGAAAAATAACCTTAACAGGATATGGATATCAATGGTTTCACGTGTTGTACCACGTTCTGGAGGCCTTACTGAGGCATCGTTACACAAGGCGCAGTTCTTTTGTTTATGACATATGATGTACGAATCAAAGACTTTCCTGGTAATCTGGCTTCATTAGATACATAGTGATGTGTTATTACGCTATATACATAGATACATGGACAGCAGGACAATGCATGGCTTCATTAGCGAAGAAATAAAAGCTCATTATCGACTTCTTTTATTAAACTTTCTATCAAAAATCAGTAGATTTACGCTTTCAACATCAACTAAATATTACAATTTAAAACATGACATCATGAGCTAGTGTATCGCCGCATCTAAATATCGAATTTTCTATCGATCACTTCCGATTTTCCTCATTTTCCTTTAAGCTTCAAGCTTTGGCCCTTAGCATCACTGGTTAGTTCTAGAAGGACGAAGTTAGTAGCTGCTGTATAATGCAGGTTAATAGTTTGTTTGACTCTCCTGTAAAGGTGTCGTTCACCTGTGTCTTTTATACCGTCATCTTAATGAAGACAGGAAGCCGGTTAAAGGGATATGTATACAGAAAAAAAAATACTTATACAGGTATCATGAACGTAAAAATTAAACACGCCATGGCCATAACTATCTGTAAAAGGTGTTCTGTAATGCTATCATCATATGAACACCCTAAGACCATTTTTCACCCTTTTGTAATCGCCTTAGACAGATTCCAGTCGAGCGATCACATGGTTTGACTGTTATAACACTTACAGTGTTATAATTACTGTACGTTATATGCTTTGTGAAGGTCTAGCTGTATCGATATCAGTAATATTTGTTTTCAAGGTGATATTCATTGCAGGTATAATATCATTTTGATTGAGTAAGGATAGTTGTTAGCTTTACAAGTGCTATGTGATACGGGGCACTACTTTCCTGAATTGTTTCCATAATTTTCCAATTAGCCCAATTGATACTATTGTCTAGGAATCAAGACATTCATTAACCAGCATTTGTTAGTGATAAAGTATGTTGACATTATAGTCGCCAAGAAAAAACGATGTTATCTTCCACAACAAACAAAATTACTGAAATAAACACAATCGGCAAATGACTGGCATTTGGTAATATCAAATTACTTGTATGTGGCCTCCATTTGTCAAATTAAGTTTGCTAGCGGGTAATATAATACACCTGATTCAAGACTTTAAACTTTACAGATGGTGTTTGTTTCGATAGTTTGAAATCATCTCTGTTTGTGATTTTATGGTTGAATAAGTAGGTTGGTGTAAACTGTGGTTTTTTCCTGTTCCTCACAAAAGTATATGAGTATATTATGTAATCGACTGGTATGATTCTCATTTGTAAGTACTCTTATTTCACTTATAAATCACTAATATTGCAGGCTAAAGTGCGGAGGAAAACTACTTCTCATTAACGTAAGAACTAATATACTAACTATGTTTACCTTTTTACGTGTATGATATATATGATACAAGAAAGTATACATACACTCGACTCTTTATAGAATAATTGGGTGGCGGAGCGGCGCAGTGGTAACGCCCTTGCATTTCACCTTACCGTCCGATTCCCTGGAGGGGGTCACCTGCCCGACCACGTGGGTTTCCTTCGGGTGCTCCAGTTCCCTCCCGCTCGCTGCCATTCGAGCCAACAAGAGTAACTAATATAAGCTGATCGCTTGTTTTGCAATTGTTGTAAGATAGATAAAGCTTACATGATAGAACAACAGGCCAATAGGCATTGACATTCACCGAAGTATTTAAATATGTTGTACTTGTTGTAATTGTTGTGATGCTTCACCTTCATAATCAGGAAAAAAACGAAATAGTACATGTGGTGCCAATATCGCAACTAATTGTTTTTGTCGTATACAATAAAATGAGGCATAATGGATATGATAAAGTTGATTATCGTGTAAGAGCAATGACTGATTATGTTTTGTGATTCTCTAGATCACATAGATCATTGTATTACAAAAGGACGTGGTTAGGGATCAACTTTAATAGCCAGGAATCTTGTTTCAAACATCGTCTGAACTTCTGTTTTTCTGACGAAAAATATTAAAAGAATGACTGTATATGTAAATTCTTAAAATTTGTAATCAGTCCCATGCGATATGGAAGATTGTACAAAAGACACACAAGTAAATAGCACCTATTAAAGCAAATTTAGGGACAAACAATTAATAGAAATTCACCATACAGCTGTTTCGTCCTTCTAAGACTCGCCAGTGGTTCTGAGGGCCTCAATTGTAGACAAACTAAGACATTGGTTATACGACCAAATAGTATTTCTCTAAATTTGGCAACTGACAGACAAACTCACAACACAGGACTTCGATAGATACAGGTAGATGAAAAGGAAGGTGAGCTTTTGTGGTCGTCATAATGATCTTATTGGAAAATATTCTTTCTTCTTAGGCGATATGAAGCTCGGCAAGTTTGATGCTCATTAGTTTGCCTGTTGGTCCCGTTGTTGTAATTTTTGTATACGTACTTACCTGGATTGACCAAGACCTACTTGGCGGGTGTCGTCGATGAAGCAGAAGACCCTTACTCTTCTGGAACACCTGAACCTGTTATCCTTGTACTATTCATATCCTTGTAAATCATTCTTTTGTTAATATTTTGCCTTATTTTTGAAGATTATGCTGACAAATTGGTATTTTCTTTACTGTTTTTCACCTGTAAATATATTTTAGGCTAAAGCATTTTCTGATTGGCATGGTGTTTAACATCAATTATTGTATGGGTGATAAAATACTATTGTAAATAATTAACCCTGATTGTGAAATTAGTCCGATATACATAGATTTGTGAAAACAACAGACGATAACCATTGATATGTGGTTTACAATAGTGATATCGTATTGGTTACATTCATCCTTTGTTTTCTATTCTCCTCAGATTTTATTTAATCAGGTCACACTTCTGAGATATTACTTCAACTAGAGCAAACACATCCAACAAAGACATTTGTAGTACATGGTAGAACCGAACACCTGAGCTTATCCCACAGTAACTGGCTCTACAGAGGTAGTATACTGTTACTACTGAGAGGAAACCTTAGCTGAGATGTTTACAGCCACTTGTTCATCACAATACCGAACTATTTTGGCTGTCCAGCACCTGGTGTCAATCCCAACCTTACTGACGAGCTCAAGACAAGTAATTGTCTTAAGACAAAAAGTGAGGAATGTGAGACATTCACATATATAGCTCGTCTTATTTCACCGTGTAACATGATTACTCAAAAACTACAAACGTATTTATAGAAATGCTGACAGTTAAACCCCGAAAATGGACATGGATACTCATGTAGGGCAAGGAAAGGGTATGAATGATGGCAAAAAATTGTCAGAACGATGTGACAGGTAGTAAACTTAAAGGTGATAGAGAGAAAAATCATGAGGCATGATGAAACAGCAAGTTACAGATTGTTGTGGTAAAAAATACTTCATTACAGGTGTATCAACTATACTTATGATATATATCGTGCAACATCGCTGGTCTGGTCTCGTAGGCAATGTTGTCACGAACAAACATCTCTGGTCTGGTCACTCAGGCAATGTTGTCACAGACGAACATCACTAGACTGGTCATGTAGGCAATGTTGTCACAGACAAACGTCTCTGGTCTGGTCACGTATGCAATGTTGTCACAGACAATCATCGCTGGTCTGGTCACGTTGGCAATGATGTCACGGACAAAACATCGCTGGTCTGATCCCGTAGGCAATGTTGTCACAGACACACATCACTAGTCTGGTCAAGTTGGCAATGTTGTCATTGACAAACATCGCAGGTTTGGTCAAGTTGGCAATGTTGTCACAGACAAACATCGCTGGTCTGGTCAAGTTCTCAATGTTGTCACAGATAAACATCGCTGGTCTGATCTCGTATGCAATGTTGTCCCAGACAAACGTCGCTGGTCTGATCTCGTAGGCAATGTTGTCACAGATAAACATCGCTGGTCTGATCTCGTAGGACCATATATTATATATGTTTTAAAATTTGTATAATATTTCCTTTTCATGCCTTTAATAATAATCATTAAAACTGCCACTTGACAGCCTTGTCTGATTATACTGTATATACAAACATCAAAAGAATCCATATCAACAAGGTTTTATTGCTTGCTCGTCTAATAGTTCATCCTTTCACCCTTCTGACTATCATGTTGAATCAAAGAATCAAAACACCAACGACATTTGATCAACCTTCACCATTTTCTCCTGAATCATTTCATCTGTAAGAACATTTCATTTTGTCATTCTGTACACTACCATACACTCTCTAAGCTAACGGCACGCCTTCTTTCTCTTATTATGAATGTTTTCTTTCAAAGTCAGATGAACTGATGTACAAATATATGGTAAAAATGATCGAATTTCTGTTTAAAAATGGCTAAAAATGGTCATTGGCATACCTACAAATGGTGGCCTTCTCTTGGCTGGTTTGTTTTCATATTTTCATACAAATCTGTATTGATATGTATTACGCTTAACAAATGAGAAATAAACAGGCCGAGTGAATTGCCCACCAGAGTTGGAAATCAAAGAAACTTCTACTACTCTCCTACATTAGGCCCCTACCTTGATCTATTCATACCTCAAAACGAAACACTTACATAATTCCACCAAGTTGTATGATAAGCGTGAATATTGCAATGTCCTTGTTGTGAATTTCCAAAAAGGAGTTAGCAACAACCATGCTCCCGAAACACCATGGTGTAATTCAGTGTCGACGCCCACTCAATATTCACGGTCTTGTTCCAAGTATCGAGATTTTCGTGCAAGATGTCGGCAACTTACAGATAAAGTAAAAACAAAGGGGTTTTAGAGAAGCAGGTTGGCCTAGTTCCTTTGACTTTGAATATAGATTTGATATTCTGTTAACACGTCGGTAATTTTGTTGCTGTTTTTTTTATACTTATCACATAAATACATGTGTTTTCTGAAGTATACATTTAAGATACAATACTGTCACATTGACAGCCTCGAAAAGACTTTCATCTTAAGCCCGGAGATTAGAAGGAGAAAGGTGAATGTGATCAATTTATCGATGTTATAAATACAATTATTATATTTTTGTTTTTATTCTGCATTTCCATTTGTAGAGATTTTATTGATTTTGTAGTGAAACCGATAATTTATCATATTTTACCGTTTTGTTCTATTTCTAATAAAAGGAATTTCTATTTACGTCACGCATCTTTTCAAACCAATCAAAGACGAGGTATTTCTTCAGTGCCCTTCATTTGTGATTGTAAAGGGTTTAATGGGATCTTCCGTCAAGACATAAGGTACAACATCAAAATCCATCGATACGAATTTCTTCACGTACAAGGTTTTTAATATTGTGGACAGCGAAAATGACTTAAGTTTGGACATGAATTTTTCTATGAAATGGAAGGCTAATGAATCCGATAACTTTGTTTTCAAAACATATTATGTGTGTTTTATCGTAGAAAAAAAGGCAAACGGCAGTGAGAATAAGAATTGTTAATAACAAAGCGGGACAAATAAGTATAAAAACAGTAACATACGACGGCCTAATCAGGAATAGAGAAAATTAAAGCCATTGAATTTGGTGCTATTCAAGCAGACAATTAACAGAATTTAAGAGAAAGTCCAAGTCGTAATGTCGTTTTCTTTAACCTGACATTATTGGAAAACTTAGAAAGAAACTCTTGATTTGACTTTCTGATATTAAACCGACAAGATGCTATTGTTTTCGATGACAAATTATCTATTCATAACATCAATTACATACACTTGCGAGTTTGAAGGCAGAGACGAATCCTTCTATATCAGTCGAGTTCTTCAATATCTGGTTAATATGAAATCACAAATACGGCTTACTGCAATAGTAAAATAAACATTGTGATACGATTCATTTTGTTTAATTTATGAATTTCTTCTGTGAGAATAGAAATTCCAGATTCATGCCATGTCGCAGTTGATACGACATTCACCGACGTTCTCGGAACATATTTGCTGACGTAGGTGTCTTCTGGTGTCGATTGCTGACTGTGAGATATATCGGACGTGTATAATTAGTAGTTTGATGACGACAATGAAGACAGTTTAAAAAAAAAAACGATTGTTGTCTCTAATGAAATATTTCCTTGACGATCGACGAACCTGAGAATGTACCGAGTAAAAAATTTGGAGGATTACAGGGGAGAGTGATGCAAAGGGTAAAAAAGGTGTTGGTAGTGATGTTAAAAAGCAGAACATCATGAACTCCATGAACAGTGACCTATGTAAAATGTTGTGATAACCAATTCACGTTCACATATATAAACTATATAGCATATTTATTGACATTTTCTCTTCGGTAGAAATGATACAGATATATCACCTTTCCGTTTAGTTGTCCATGTAGTAATCATAACCTAAGTTAGTGTAACAAGATTTCATGATGGATAATCATATCACTGACTTGCTAAGTTAGTCTTGTTTGACGCTGAAGAAAATTGATATTTTAGGTATGTTGTAAGTGATTTTGACATAATTTTGGAAAACGGATATTGTTTGCATACTCAACAATATGGTAGCCATGTATACACGCGAACAGTGGTATATGGGTAACGTGACCCGACCTTATGACAGGCTGTGATAGAGATTCTGGGCGTGTTG